ATTCCACCTGTTTCTTTAGCTTTTTTTGATCCAGTAATTTTATTTTGGGGCTGTCATCCTGAAGAAGTAATCTGAAATGGGAAAAATTTCTTTATACACAAGTTTACTAATTATGGCTCTATATAATATAAATTTAAAAAATAACCTAAACATTTAACTAGTAGAAGAATGATGATAATAACTCTGTTAGAGCCATACAATGGAATATTACGCAGCCATCAAAACTTGTTTGCCAAAGATTTTATTATAATGTGGCAAAGTGCCGTGACAATGCTCAATCAAAAATTCAAAATTCTAAGCGGCACACACAATATTACTGTATCTCAAGAGGAAGAGCTCAGAAGAAAACAAAGGGAAAGAAGTCTATCAAACCATTATGATTGTTGTCTTTGGAGAAGGAGGTGGTGAGTGACTTCCCTTTTCTTCTATTTTTACAATTAAATATTATTTAATCCAAGTTTTCAATAATAGGGAATTATACACATTTTGTTTCAAGTGAAAAGGGCCAGTCGCAGGGGTTTGCTTGGGTGTTTGCAGGTGGAGAGACGTGCGGATTCCAGACTGCCTCTTTGAAGCAGCGCAGCAACAGCAAACCCCAAGCATCCCCTACAGCTTGTACCTGGTGGGTCATATAGTCCCTTAGCCAAGTAAACATCTCCTCCATCAAGGACCTAAGAGTCCTTGAAGGCACCTGGCTCCTCCCTCCCGCCTGGCACAGAGCAGGCATGGCTGGCAGCCTGGCAAGGGGGGCACTGCACCCATGCTGGTTTCTCGCCACAGCCCTTCCAGCTCTCCCCTGCGCTGTGCCCGGGAGGCCAACTTGGATGGCTGTTTCAACCTTTGACTTTTTCCAACTAGCTTCTAGCGGGATTTACCCAACCTGGAGTCCTGGCAGGAGAGTGGAGGAAGGGAAGACAGGGCAGTGTGAGATGTCACCCCCTGGTCCCCTTCCTGTGGGTCTTCTGACGGTGGCAGCTTTAAGATGCCCTCCTTCCGGCTTCCAGGAACCAATGGCTATCTCGTTCCCAGCACCTTCTCTGGTACTTCTCTTCACCCTTACCAGCACCCTCTTCAGGAAATCCTTCCTGAATCATCCTAACTTGAGTGTGTCCTCCCTCCCCTGCCACAACCCTGAACAGACACAGGACTTATTTGAAAGCAGAGGGTCTGTGCCACCCAGCTTACCACAAAGAGAGGCACAAAGCACATCCTAGGTGTCCTCAAGTCTTGTGGTGGGAGGGGAGGGGTTGAGTCCTGGAGCTGACGGACCTGAGTTCAAATCCAAGTGCTACCCACTTCTGACAGCCATGAGGTGGTCCTTCATGCATTACTTCACCTTACCAGGTCTTGCCTTTCTTATCTGCTGATTGAGGAAGAACACCTACATTTCCGGAGTCCTGTGTGGATTAAACAGATTAGACGAGGTAAGATATCCACACCTCTTAGCACGCTGCTCTGAGTGGAGTTAACCCCAGCCAACGTCAGCTGTCACTGTTAGTGCTGTTATTCACCGGGGCTGTCAGCCTCGTAAGTGCAAAATGTCCGGTCGGATCACGGCTGCCAGAGACACGGGGCAGGAGAATCTAAATCCCCCTCCTCCCTACCCTGGGCTCCGGACACTGCGGGGAGGACCCAGCCCCAGCCCCACCCTCCGCACTGCACTGCGCAGGCTTGGCAGGAACAGAGAAGGGGGTGGGGGTGGGTGGCCAGAGAGCGAGGGGAGGGGCTGGGAACCCCGCCCATCAGCAGCAGGTGCACTGCATTGTGAGCGAATCACTTGCTTATTTAACTATCGTACTTACGAAAAAGACCCGAATGAGAGATATGGGCATTTGTGGTCATGATCAAAAAGAGGGGAAAGGGGAGATATAAATGATCAAAAATGCAGGAAAGAATAAGACATTGGGTATAAAAATTTGCGTCTTTAAAATAGCTGTACTTCAACCTCGGAGCGAGTGCATCTTTTAAAAAGCTCTCTGAAAACACTTCCCTGCCCTCTTTGTCTCTTCTCTTTATAAGGCAGCTTCTCTTTAACTCCCGTTGGGAAACTTCTTATAAATGAGGATTTGCATCTCAAGGGATTACTCTGGTTAGGAAAGTGTTTTATTAAAAAATATATGTTTGCCACAGAATGCTGAGCGATATAATTAGCTGGTCCCTTCTGCTTTATTTTAAAAGGCTGTATGGCCAAGTTCTAATTAAACATATTCTCAGGACATTTGAAATGTGAAGGTGCCTCAGAATTGGGCACTAAAATGAAAGAAATGAAGGCTTGGGGGAGGTAAGCTAGTGTGTGGGCGTTCTGGCCACAGGGTATCTAGCATTTAGCCTCATTTCTGTCCTGAGGGCACAGCTGCCATGACCCATAAGTCTGTCCCACCTCAGGGTTGGTGGGACCCTGCGCTGCATCTGGGAGGCAAGGAGTCCTGGGCTGGGGTTCTGGGGAGCTGTGTGTGTGACAGGTCATAGGTGCCTAGGTCCCTGCCACCCTGCCATTCAAATTGTACGTCTGGATGTTTCGCTCTGCCTGGTTCTTGCCACGTAGCATAACAGTGCTCCAAGTGCCCATACCTCCTCTTATTTTGTGAGTTCAGGACTACAATGAGAGGCCATGGAATCTCACTCTCGGTAGCTCATCCAAGAGAGGCAGTGCCATGCCCTCATTTGCAAAATGTGTAGAGTGATGCTTATCTATTTCCTCTTTAAAGAAGCAAATGATCTGGAAATGGAAGTATTCAGTCTGCATGCGGCAGGACGGGCTAGAAGCCCAGAGAAGTTGAATTTAAAACTACCTCTTTTGAATTTTCCTAATGGACTCCCTGTGTAGCACCCTCACTCTTTGAGAAGCACTTTCCCCTCCATGAAAACCTCTTCGGGAGCAAGCAGAACTCTCATTCATTGCTGGTGGGGATACAAAATGATGCAGCCACTTTGGATAACAGTCTGGCAGCTTCCTATAAAGTTAAACATACTCTGACCATATGACCCAGCAACCCTATCCTAGATCTTGAGACGTGGGAGACATGAAAACTTCTAAGCACACAAACCCTCTAAGCCCCTGCTTATAGCAGCTTTATCCATAATCACCCCAAACTGGAAAGAACCCAAATGTCCTTCAACTGATGCAGGGATAAACAAACTCTGGTACATCCATATCAACTATGGAAACACTCAACAAGGTGGATAAATCTCAAATACATTATACTAAGTGAAAGAAGCCAGACTCAAAAGGTGACGTACTGTAGAATCTCAGTTATATCGCATCCTGGAAAAGATAAAACTAGAGGGATGAAGAACAGATCAGTGGTTCCCAGTGTGGGAAGTGGAATGATGGGGAGGAGGATATTTTGACTACAAAAGCACAGCGCAAAGGACCATTTAGGGGGTGGGATGTCTCCAAATCTTGATTGCAGTGGTGGTTACATGACTCTATGAATTTGTCAAAACTCAAAGAACTGGATACCAAAAGAGTGAATTTTACTCTATGCAAATTAAAAAAAATATAAAACCCCTGCAGGCTTAGCAGTGAATGTAGTAGCTGTTTGAGGCTGCCCCCACCCCCCTTATTCATTTTACCCTACAAGGGATTGAGTCAGCCAAGTGATGGCATCCTCTGGTGATGGCTACTATCCACAGAAGTGGCCCCTGAAACCTATAGGGAAAGTCCCAGATTACATGGGTCAGTGAAAAAAAATTTTTTTAATTCTCTTTTCTATTGGATGTAAACAAAACAGCAAGCAGATCTTCTGACCACTTGTGACCACATGGGAAATCATGAGACAAACACCTTGAGGATGAGTCGATGCTGAGAACACAGATCTAAGAGTCAGAAGGCAGAGAAAGCTGGGTTCCTGTTTGTATAATTGAGCCAGGATTAACCACTAGACAATTTCCTTAAGCCAGTGTGAGCAGGGGGTTGTATTGCTTGCAGACTAAAGCATCCTAGGAAATGCTATCAGGGAGCTCATTGGAACACTTCTATCCTGATTCACAGTCCCGAAGCAACTTGAAACAAACAAGGCAATAAAGAACTTCTATGAAACAATAGAAAACAGAGCCAACAGAACATGGGGAAAGGACTTGAACAGGCACCTCATGAATAAAGAAATCCAAGTGACCAAAAACACATCAAAAGGGACTCAATCCCCTTAGCATTCATGGAAACATAAATTAAACCCAGAGAGACAGCAACAACCACCACTAGATTAGGAAACATTAAGAAGAAGGGGGGCAAGTGTGGGGATTCCTCAAAAGACTGAAAATAGACTCACCATATGACCCAGCAATCCCTTCCTGGGCATATATCCAGAAGGAACCCTAATTCAAAAAGACACCTGCATCCCAATGTTCACAGCAGCACTATTTACAATAGCCAAGACATGGAAACAACCTAAATATCTATTGACAGATGACTGGATAAAGAAGTTGTGGTATATTTATACAATGGAATACTATTCAGCCATAAAAATGACATAATGCCATTTGCAGCAATATGGATGTCTCTGGAAAATATTATTCTAAGTGAAGTAAGACAGAAAGAGAAAGAAAAATACCATATGATATCACTCATATGTGGAATCTAAAAAAAAAAGACAAATGAACTTAAATATAAAACAGAAACAGACTCACAGACATAGAATACAGACTTTTGGTTACCAGCGGGTAGAGGGGTGGGAAGGGATAGACTGGGAGTTCAATATTTGTAGATATTGACAGGTATATATAGAATAGATAAACAAGTTTATACTGTATAGCACAGGAAAATATATTCAATATCTTCTAGTAGCTCATGGTGAAAAAGAATATGAAAATGAATATATGTAAATTCATGTATGACTGGAACATTGTGCTGTACACCAGAAATTGACACAATATTGTAAACTGACTATAACTCAATAAAAAAGAAAGAAAGAGAGAAAGAAAGAAAGAAAGAAAGAAGAAAGAAAGAAAGAAAAGAAAGAAAAGAAAAGAAAGAAAGAAAAGAAAAGAAAAGAAAGAAAGAGGGAAAGAAAGCTTATAATATCATATGCTGACCTGACAAGGATGTGGAATGATGGGAATGCTTAAAAACTGATTGTGGGAGTGAAAATTGACATGATCACTTTGGAAAACAGTTGGGAGTTGGTAGATGTACACACTCTACAACTTAGCAATCCCTCCCCTATGTATATGTATGACAGGCTCTCCCACACGTGCACAACACACAAATGAGCATGTTTGCAGTGCCATTTTTCATGATAGCCAAACACCAGAGACAAAGGAAGACCTACTACACTGCAATATATTCGGGGTCTACAGGTTTGAAACTACAGTGTAGAAACTGCATACATCCACGTGGTCAAGTCTCACAAAGGCGATGCTGGGTGAAAGCAACAAGACACAAAAGAATTCATTGAATATGATTTCCTTTTCGTAAAGTCTAAATACAGGCACAGGGATGTGCAACTAAGTGTTAATTACAAAGCAAGGCAATAAAGTGATGGCTATAAAGTCAAGGTGGTGGTGGCCTCTGGGAAAGGGGGTTGTAACTAGGGGGTGTCCAGGGGGCTTCTGGTGATTGAGCGGTGGTTACACAGGTGTTGATTAACACATTTTTCTACATTTTTAATATATCCACACAGCAAAACAAAATCAGATACCAGAGAAATGCCGAAATCCAGTTTGGAGTTGGGAATATGGAATGAGTGACTCTGAAGGAATTCTGGAAGATTGGCCCCAAAAAGAGACTTCTGGATGGTCACAAGTTTCACTTCACTTCATCACCATTTATTCCAGCTGGAGACCTTTGAAAAGTGGTTGCTTTTAAGTAAAATTTGAATCCTTTGAAGAGTATCAATTCTCTCTTTTAAGTTTAATGTGTTCATCTTATGGACTGTTCTTCCTGATTGATCACAGTTCAGACCAGATCTGTTCCTTACATGAGTCTACGAAGACTTGAAGCAGCTATCCTGCCCAACTGCTCCTTATTTGCCTGGAGATCTTTCATCTTAAAAATTCAATCATCAGTACCAGAAACGCAGGGGACCACATCCAATGCCTTTTGAGTAAGTAAAATACATACTGTGAGTCCAGGCATAAACTTCATGCATTTCCTTGTATACAATTATTTCGTGCTCTTATTTGAGCCTATTAACTCTATTTTAAATATACATCCAATAAGCTCAGGCATCTGTTTCCAAGAATACATCAGCTTAGAAAAGTACCGGTGGCAGGGAACGGCTACTGGAGCCCGTGACAGCTAAGAAACTGACACGGTGTTAAGAAGACAGACGGAAAAGCATCTCAGCTCTCCTGGGCTTCTTGGGCGCATTTATTGCAAGCACAACGAGGCAATGTGAAATTAGAAATCGACTAGACCCTTTTTTAAAAATCAGGAATGTGTGCATAATAAATGATCATCATCAAATCTTTAGCAAACCTATTCATTCAAAAAAAGGTCAGTTTTATAGATATTTTCCTGCAAAGAAGTAATTCTGCAAGAATCTAGTGATATTAATCTAAATCCAAGTCTCTAGGAGTATATGTGTTTGCACAGATAGAGATAGATAAACATACACACATACACGTACACGGACGAATACTGAAAACTAGCAATCTATATTGTGTGTGTGTGTGTGTGTGTGTGTGTGTTGGTTTGGGTCCCATTAAAGAATTCAGGATTCGGATGGAATTCACCCTGATAGCTGAACAATTATGGAACAGCTGCATCCTCAGAACAAAATGACCTTTTCATCAAGTTACAAAACATTAAAGGTTAAAGAATGTTTGAAAGGAAGTTAATACTTTTAAAACATTGGGGAAAGTGCCATCCTTTCAAAGACCTGACCAAAATGAGAGCAAAGTGCCCGAAGGCCCGGATGATCCTTCCTGTGAGGAGGTGACATATGTGCACCGCCTGCTTCATTCAGAACTATGAACGAACCCACCTTCTCAGGAAATGAGAGGAGGCGGGCCTGGGAGCAGCAGAGCCCGGGAGCTCAGGCAAGGAACCCTTAACAGGCTGACTCCTAATTGCGATGCTCAAGTCACACTGCTCCTTCTCTGGAGTAGCGAGTAGCGATGGCAAGGAGAGCAAATCAATGAGAGTGTCAGATTTTCCAGGCTTCTATTTTCCATCTGACCTGGATGGTGCAAATTCCAGTCGCTACTAACAGGGAACATAGAAATATCAGTGAGACTCGTCACTAAACCCCTTCCTTTAATTAGCTCCCAGGAAGGCCTGGAGAATCCTCCTTGTTCACCCAGCAAATGCCCACTCTTCCCAAGAAGTCAGGAGCCCTGGGCCCTGTCCTGCCATCTGCACCTCCCCTCTTCCTTCCTTCATGCCCGACTCCAAGCACCAGCTTGCATCCTTGGGTGCATTCAACCTCACCCTGATTATGAGCCTTTGCTTTCAGGGAGGTCTGACCCCGTGGGTGCGCTTCTCACAGTGGCTGAAATAAGCATCACCATTATTGGACAACCACTGAGTGCCAAGCTCTTCACCAAAGCACCAATATACAGCATCCCAGGGGAGCCTCACTAGACCTGGGAAGTTGGCTCTGCTGCGATTTGCCCGTGGGCAAACAGCTAGTAACACCATTCCTCTTCCAAATCCCCGTCTGACCCTGAAAGCTCCCGGCATGCAGCACAAGGAAACCGAGGCTTCAAAAGGCATCCCTGACTTCCATCAGAGGCCCTCCCTGAATCGCTCCTCATTGTTTAAGATGGACAAAGCGGGCTTCATTTTAGAGATGAAGGAGACTAGGCTCAAAAGTGTGTGTGTGTGGTGGGGGTGGGGTGGGGGGGCAGTCTGCTGGAGGTCACTTGGTGCATGGTACCCACGTGTGCCCCGGCACAGATTCGCTGCGCGCTTGGTCCTTCGGCGCCTATGATGGGTACTTCTCATAATTGCCCTCCCTCATTTCTTCATGCACCCTGCGTTGGATCGCCAGCCCTCTCCTTTCTCACCTTCCCTGTCTACCTTCTTGGATCTCAGCGTGCCCCAGATAGGGCCATCCTCCAGAGAGAGAGAGCAGCTGGCATTCCCGGACATTTGAGACGGGTGTGACTCCTTGACAAATTTCCCTGTTGGAGGATGGCTCTGGCCCATTTTCAAGTCTCATTTTCCCTGGCCATCAGGTGAGGCCTGAGAGGAGGAAGGAGGGTCTGTGGGTGGCTGGGGTGCTGAGGGGGTGCCTCCCAACTGGACTACATAGGTGCTCACCGCTTCTAAGGCTGGCAGGCCTTCTGGTGGGAGCCCTATTCCCAGGCATTCGGCTGGGATGCAAGATTCTCTCAAAAAGCAGGGAGGTCCCTGGTGTACCTGAAATTACCCTGTTTTCCCTGGGCAAGAGCCCCTTCTCTTCAGCCCAAACACTCCTTAATTCTTAGGAATTAATCCCCCTATTTGGGCAACATATTTTAAAGCATTGATAAATATCTAGAAGGTGATGAAAAATCAAAATTCACGCCGTCTCAAATTTGTCTTCAGTACTTATCATTTTTCCTCCTATGAGTATTTATAAATGGTTAGCCAGCCTGGGTCCAGGCTCTGAGTGCACCCCCAACAGGTTCCCCCCGCCCCTCCGGATGAAGGGGCAGGGAAGGGTGGCTGAAGATGACTGACTTGAGCTGAGTGAGTCTCCAGAGAGTGGCCACGAGGGCCCTCTGCTCTGGAACTCAGGCTTCCCCGCAGCCTGACCACCACCCTTTGGGAGGGAGCAGGGCTGGGGATCAATTACTCCCTGAGGCAGTTGTTAGCTGGGACCAGGCTCTAAGTCCTGTTGTGATAAAGAACAGTGTGCTCATCACCCCACAGTAAAGACAATTGCATTTCTAAAGACTGTTTAAAAAATAAGTCTGCAGGGTCGTGGTGGGCCCCAGGGTACTTGGCACAGATGGGCCAAGAGGGTGCGGAAGGGGACAGATGCTAAACAGACAAGAGCTATCCACTGGTCCCTGATGGAAGCCAACCCAGTGGCCCAGGCATAGGCCTCCACTGAGTCCTGAGCCCCAGGCAGAGCCAGGCTAGGAGGCCAGCTCCCCTGGTGCTTGCAGAGCCCTCACTTTTCTTAGAGGCAGAGGTCAGCACTGTCACAGAGCCAGTCCCTTCTCTGCACCTTTGCACACTCCTTTATTTCCACACCCCTACTGACCTGTGCCGTACACACGTTCCTCCCTGCACGCCTCTGCACACTCACCGGAGCTCCTGCCTGCGGGTGCGAGCGCATCCTCCAGGACGTACTTCCCCATGGGTGTTCTGCTGCTGCAGCCGGTTGTCAGTACACCGGCTGCGCCTGCGCAGGCTTTCCCCAGGGGCCAGGTGCTCGCAGCACCCGACCTAGTCCCGGCTCCCAGCCTCCTGGACCGCAAGGCCTGCGAAGGGGCACTCAATCCTCTGCTCTGAGAAAGCTGGATTTGTCTGCTCCAGATTTTCAATATTGGAGGGCTTTGAGGAAAGTGGTCACGGTCTGGGATGGGCAAGAGTCTTATCTTGAAGTTCTGTCAATGGAACACACACACTGTTTTAATGTAAATGCTAGTTTTGTTAAGGAAACCTAGAGAGGGGAGCTGGAGTGAAGGGGCTAGAGCTCTTCTTAAACCCCTCCTTGGCGTAACCACTTGCCTCTGCCATCCATCAACACGTCCAAGTGCAACACGCATACGGAGGCTGCAGAGCGCCTCATCGTCTAGACCGGCCCTGAGAGCACCCCAGCCCACCACCTCACCACCCCAACTCCCCCATCTCATCCCTGGGGCGGGAGCAGCCGCCCCGCCGTCCTGCCTCTAGAGGGCGCTGCTGGAGAGGTGGTCCAGCCAGCTGCCGCCGCGGGCTCAAAGAGGGCGCCCCAGGGACTCCACCCCTAACCCCTGGCCTAATTTGAATATTTCATTGGCTGCCGCCAGTCTGGTCAATTTATCATGCAAATGCGGGTGCCCTCCGCGCCGGAGAGGAGCCACCGCCCGCGCAGGAGAGCGGCGCCCGATTGGTGGCCGAGACAGCTGCATTTGTAATATTTTTCTTTGGGCATTAGAGTCATTTACCAATGCCATTGCCGCAACTCGAGGCACTGAATCACAAGCCACTTAAAGGTTTTTATTGGCAGCTTTGAAACTTCTTAACATGTTCTTTTATTTTAAACCAAGTGTCAACCTATTTCTGACCTCCCCCTTCCCCCCACCTAAAAAGCTGCAGCAGCTACAAACTTCTTTGTTCCCTTGCGATCTGTGCACCGGGTGGCTGCCCCTGCCTTGTCACAGGAGGAGGACTCGCTCTCTTTCGGGTGAGCACTTGGTAGAACTGAAATAAATAATCTTTGAGAATTCTTAGTGGGGCGGGGAACTGATAGAATAGAAAAGACAAAAAGGAAGTAGAGAGTAGGACCTGGAAGTGGAAGAAAGATGAAGGAAATGTGGGAAGGAGAAATGGCAGAAAGACGAAGACGGAAAGAAAAATTCAGAGCTGCTCTGCGGAGGAGGAAATTCTTGGAGTTATTGAAGCTGGTGAGATAAGAGACTATCTGTATACAAAGAATTTGAACCTGCTGGCCACCGTGTCCCAAAGAATTCTGGCTCTGCTATTCCGGAAACACAAGTGATATGCACCAAGTTTCAAGAAATGAAAATGAGAAAGAACGAGGCCCCGGCTCAGAGTCCCTCTCTTGCTCCTGCCCTACTGAGAATTGAGCTCCGTCTTGGTTTTTCCCCGTTTGGAAATTCAGCGACAAACACAAAACCATAATATATAAGACAGATAAAAAGAACGATATAGGAGAAGAGAAAGGGGAAACGAAATACTTCCTTGTCCTGCAAATTCCCTAGCTAGTTAATGAGGTCACTAGGCTTGCAACGCTGGGCTGTCGGGTCTGAGAAGACCCGGTGGTTTGATTTCTGAGACCTCCTGCTCTCCATGGTTCCTGCATTGGAGGAGCCTGAGCTCAGCCTAGCATCTGGCTGCCCACGCAGTAATTCACACGCACGATTCTGACCGCGGAATTTGCATCCTCACGGGAAGAGATGGGCACCTCTGCTTTCCAGCTAGCGAAGAGCTGCTCGCTTCCAGCCAGGGGCGAGCCCACTGCGGCTGCAGCTGTCTCGAGTGCAGTTTCTCCCTCCCTTCCTCCCTTCCTTCCTTCCTTCCTTCCTTCCTTCCTTCCTTCCTATCTTTCTTTTTTTCTTTAGCTTTGCCTAAATGGTTTACAAAAATCCAAAGGTGGGGGGGACACACCACGCTGTAGCAAGTAATTCTGGAAATTCCCCGCACAAATCAAGTCGATGTGTGGGATTTGACTAAAGGGCATTTCGCTAGTAATTGTGCCCTCCAAGCTGGACTTGATGTACTTCAGTCCTTCTTAGACCGAAACACAAAGAGTTTCTATTTTCTTTAATCTTGGGTCTCCTAAAAAAGTTTTTTTGGAAGTTCCGTGAAAGACTGGGCTTGAAAGAGAACTATGCAAGAAAGGGGAGTAGAGTCTAAGCTGGGCTCCCCAAATCTGCAAATTTGAGACTGAGAGCACAGGAGAACCTGGGGGTGGTGGGGAAGGAGAATCCCCAGCTGGTCTTGGAAACCCCAGAAAGTAGTCTCTACCCATCACCCAAGTAGGAAATAGGTATGTAGGTAGACCAGTTCCCGTTGGAAAGCTCTGTTCCTTCCCTCCCTGTTAAGTGCATAGTTTTTAATTTTTGTTTTCAAAGACGTTTATAACTAGCTGAAAATCTTGAGTTGGGGGGTGGGGAAGAACAAGGCATCAGTGAGGACCTGCCGAGCCCTAGCTTTCTAGGGCGCTTGACTAGATCAGTTTCCATCCAAAGTTCAGGAAGCCTCAGTCTTGCCTAGGAGTTCAAGGACCGCCGGGCCCGCCTTGCTCTGCCCCGCCCCTGCAGACAGCCGGCCTCTGGGCTAGCTCGGGAAGATCAAAGTTCCTTTTGCCTTTGAGTCCTGTGGTCCTGGTGGGATTGGCAGACCTGCAGGGAGCACAGCTGGTAAAGCTGGGCTACTCCTCTGTGCCAGAGCGACAAGCAATTTACAAAGTAGGAAGCCACCGCCCGAGGGGGACGGTTGGGAGTGTGTGTACCCGAGTGTGTTGGGTGGGGGTGGAGAGGGTGGGTTTCACATTCTCAGCACCAGTTCTTGACCTTGGGACGAGAAAAGTCTCCTACTTTTCTTCGAGGATTGCCTTGCCCCGCCCCCAGCTCACATCCAGATCCCCCAAGGTCCCACAGAAGTAGCATTAAATATACCGCTCCGATTTTCGAAGGTTTATTTCACGTCAAAACTGTAAAAGTTCTTGGGAGAATTTACAGGCAAAACATCTGGTTCGTTAAAACAAAGCTACCGGAAAAAGAGAAACAAACTTCGCCGCTGTGTAAATGCACTTTCAGCAAACAGTTTACCGCCTAGCTAGGGCCTGGCCCCAAGGTCCAAATCCTTCGCGGGTTGTCAGGCGCTATGGTCCCGGACCCAATTCCTAGCTGAGATGTGCAGGTGGCGGCAGTCCGCTTCCCTGCCCTCCTGCCTGGCCCAGACTGCAGTGTGAGAAGTGTGAAAGGGGCCAGACCAGAGCGCCAGCGTACCAGGCAGCGCAGGCCAGAGAGCACTTGGCGCCGCCTCCCCTGGCACTGCTGGGCAGGCACTGGGTTCCCCAAAGGCCCACCGCCGAGCCAGATGCTCTCATACCTTGAAATGGGGTGCAGGCTCCGGGAACTTACTCTCTCCCTCCAGGCGGCCCGCGCCTCCCTCGGGGCACGGAGAACCCCTCTCCAAGGTCTAGCCTTAGGGCCCTGCTCCTGGGCCCTCCAGCCTACCCTGGCTGGCTACCTTGCCTGGATCGGCAGCTTCGAGAATGCCTTCTTTCTGGAAACCTTTTCCCTCCTGGTCATCCCAAGTAAGGACACAGTTCATTCAGCCTGGCTCGAGTCCGGCGGGCTGTCACCCAATGCCCCTCAATCGCACCTTGAATACAACCTCGGCTGCCTCCCGGCGGTGGCCCGCCTGTTCCTTCCCCGCACGAACTTCCTGACTCCCTCGCTGAGGCCCGAATCCCAGCTCCTCCACCGCACACTTGTTTCAGCCACGCCCACATACTCCCCGGACTCCAACTCGCCTGGGTGGGGCTGGGGTTAGCCAAGGGCAGGAATGCCCCCGGGGTGGGACAGACCCAGGCAAGTAGGCCCAGACACCGAGGCCTGGGGCTACTTGAGTTCCGAGAGCTGGAGTCGGGTTTCTAACCCCTGACCTGAAGAAGAGGCGTTTGGCAGCCTTTGTACTGAACAGGGCTCAGCGCCCCACTGCGGAGGAGGAACGGGGTTCAACTGGGGCCCAGACGCAATCTTGGGGGTCAGGAGTTGCCTTCATGGCGCCTGGAAATTTTCTGGGCTCTTAACCGGGTGAACCACTTGACCTCAAAAGCAGTTTGCCACCGGACGTTTCGCTGTCTCCCCACGGTCCCCCAGCCCAGTCCTTTTATTTTTAGATGTTTAAAAATTATTCCCAGAAACGCAGCACCTCTTAGAGGTGACAGCATCTAACTGGCCTAGGGGGTTACTTTTTGCGTGACTCACGGGGCCAAGAAGTTACCAGGTGTTTGTGCGGGGCGGAAGCCTGTAGTCGCTTTTCAAAGGAATGGTCTCCTTAACTCTTCAGAGTGGGGTACAAAGACTATACAGTGCGTCTTCTACAGAATTCTAGCTCCGTGGCCGGGCTCGGGCTTTTCTGCCTCTAGTCTAGCGTGAAAACGGTTTGGCGGCGGGATGTGGTGCGCGAAGCCCGCACGCGAAAGCGCGGTCCATCCTTCCCGCAGGAAGGAGCCCCAGTGAGCGCCGCCGCGGCCCTCTCTGGCCTCCTCTGGAGCAGCGGGCGCAGACCTGGGCGCTCGCCAGGGAAGCGGTTCCTGTATCCCTCTGAACTTGCAAATCGCGGAACGAATAGACGCACAGGTTTTGACCAGCTTGGGTAGTCCACTGAGGGGCAGAACTCACCAGGCACCCGGACAGAAATATTTACAGTAGGAATAAAGTCAGGTAAAATGCCCAGGTACAGCCGCCCCGCAGATGTCCAAGGAGTAGGTCCTATGTGAGCTCTTCCCCTGAAGTTCTTCGGAGGACAAGAAAGGCCCCTTGGCACGGCCAGACTGGTCTTATGATTGGGAACATATGTGAAGATGTCTGTCTTCCGTACGTTGTGTGTGTTGGGGGGTGGGTAGGGGGACGGTAGGGAAAAGAAAGAAACAAAAGCAGGGGAACATGCCACCACCGCCGTCGCTGCCGCTGGGGTCAGCACTCTGGGAGAATGGCCGAAGTCCCTGCAAAGCACTGGCTTCTCCAACATATGGCCCTGCCCTCTCTCTTTGTAAATAACATGTGAATTACAGACTTAGTGCCACCCAGTCACTATTTCTCCCTAAATTGACCCCTTAATTCTCCCTGGATCCGAATTTTCTTCCCTCCCCACGCTCCTTACTGTCAGGCCATGTCATGAAGCAGCCTAGTGAAGTTTTAGCTTTAGTCCTTCTGGCTAAGACCTGCCTGGCAACATCGACAGCCTCAGACTCAGCCCAGCTGAAGCGGGTTTAAGCCAAGGCATTCAGGTAGCTTCCGGGTCTGTACTGTGCTTGCTGCGGACTTGGGAAGCCTCGCCCCTTTCTTTCTTATGCCACACCCAGTCCACAGAAAAGGGGCAGAGAGCACGTGGTGGAATGCAAGGGCTAGGCTGATACTGTCCCCTGCATCTGTCCCATCCCTAGAATGGCCTGCAAAACTAGTCTTGTTTAGAAGTTCCAAAATTAAAGGAAGTGCGTGTGGCTAAAAACCCAAAGAGATCAGGGTTCCAGGCTGTGCCAAGGCAGGCTGGAACCCTGTTTGCCTTTCGGGGCAAGGCAGCGCGGTCACAGTACGCACTCCGCATAGCCCGTGTTGTGCGTGACGGGCTGTAGCCGCGATGTGCAGCTCATTGACACTGATGGATGCGCCAATGGTTGGACGGACAGATGTTGGGGCGGATCGCACTGCGCGCAGCGCCTGAGCGGGGGAGGGCGAGGCAGAGATCGGGCGGTGGCTGCCCGCCGCGCGGAGACCCATGCTCAGGCCGCGGCCGGCAGGGGGAGGGGGCGGAGGGAACTGAGGTTTGGAGAGCAGCTCGAGGAAGGAAAGGAGGAGGGGGAAACACTAGCCAGGGCGAAACTCTCAAGCCTTCAGTGTGCGGCGCCCAGCGCTGTGCACTCGCCACAACCGGCGCGCCTAAATGGGCGCTCGGCGCGTGGAAGGTGAGTCAGGAGCAGGCAGGAGCTGACCTCCCGCGGCGCCTATCCTCCTTCAGAAAAGAAGTGCTCCGTGCCGCTACTAGAATCGTAGAATCCTGAGGCCGCAGGCGGCGTCTGCCAACTCACCGTTTCCTCGTTCGCAAGAAGCGTTTCACGCCCCACAGCCGGGTCTCCCGGGCCTGGAGGGGCAGTCGCTCCGGCCTATGCGGCTGCAGGCACCAACTGCACACGGCGGCCCCCACCCCCGACTCTGCCGCACAAGGCCAGCCCCGGAGCCCAGCCGCAGCCCGATTCCAACTCCCCGCAACCGCCCGGGGCCCGCATCCCGCGATTCCGAGCGCTCCTGCGCGCACCAAGGCGCAGGAGGCGGCTTTATAGCCCGGGAGGACGGCGGCCGCACATCTGCATTCAGGGAGGCGTCTGGACCCAGCCCAAGCCCGCAGGCTGGGGGCGAGCGGAGACTTTTGATCTTACCGTCAGGGTGAGATCACGGTCTCCTGGTCTAAAAGAAAAGAAAGCATGCCTGTGAACTTTCAAAACAAACTTGCAAAGACAATCACAAAGAAAAAA